TCTGCAAGAAGCTCACTCCCTCCCGGGGGCTCCAGTCAAGAAGCAGACCCTGATTATTTTTTTCTCCTCACTTTTGACCTAAAATCCCCTGCACCTGTGCTTTTGTGCATGTTCACTCCAGAAAGGGAGCTTGTCTATGCTGCTACCTGAGAAGTGTCTGAATCTTGCCCCCTTTGCTCATGGTTAGCAGAGCATTCACAAAGGCCCAAACTGAAAATGAAGGCTCATTTGGGAAAATATTGGTCATGAATATAAAGAATAAAATTGTCCTGGTTTTGAGTTAGTTGGCTAAACAAACTTAAATGTCATGTTTCTTCTCTCTGATGCATTAGCCTGTGGCCACTATAACCAACAGTGTTTTTCTACATGGTCTTGAAAGTGCATTTTACAAATACTCAAAAATGCAGTATGGTGGTGGGGGGGGTGTATTTCTCATAAGCATTTGTGCCAGCAAAAGCCAGTTGTTCCCACGCCCACTGGAAAGAAATTCAATATAGCAAAAGGAAGCTCATTAAAAAATTTAGACCAATATTCACAAAAATATTTTATCTTATCCATCCCACTCCACAGTTACTTTTCTTTTTGTTTGTAAATACTTTGGGGGAAAAATATCGCTTCTGCCTAGAACTGCTGTCAAGTGTACTGCTTTGAAGAATTTGGCATATTCTCCGGTCAGCACATCTGGTATGGGTGGATGCTCTTCAACAGACTGATTTTTTTTTTTTTGGTTGTTGTTATATTTCAAGTGATCCTGTGCCAAAACCCGTTTAGCTGAACAAGAAGTTTGCCCATTATCAATCACTCACTGATAACTGCTGCCAACTCAAAGATGCATCTTTCCAGGCACAGCCTGTGTGCACACTGGCTGCAGGAACCAGCTTCAGCAATATTGAGACCCTACTGAGATTTCAGAGGAAGTGCAAATAAGGAGTACTTGATAAAAATAGCAACCTGCAGGCTCTGTACTGCTAAGTGCTATTTAACTACGCAGAAAGTTTTGGTATTTGTCTTTAAGCTAGGAAAGAATCTAATGTTTTACCCAGGCTGTGACAGAGGGGAAGAAAGAGCGCCCTGGCTTGTCCGGCTGTTCTCCCAGAAGCTGCCTTGCTCCTCCAAATTCTGGTTAAACACTTCAGGGAGCGCAACAGACTCAGAGAGTCTTGTCTGTTTGGAGTATAACTACCTGTACTCCCAGCATGGGCTTTGCTTTGGGCTTTAGATTTTCTCTTTCTCTTAAAAGCAAACCCAGAAGAGACTGAGGACTTGCTATTGGCACCTTCAAAATGTAAACCAGTCTCTGTTCTACAAGTGATATTGATGAAGGATTAGTTTTTCTACTTTTTAATACCATTAGACTGCTACCAGCTGTTTAAGAAATGTCCATGCTGAAGAAGGTGCTAGGTATGGTTATGTCCCAGTTAAAATGAAATTAGTTTTCTTTTACCTCTTAGCAAAAAAGATTCACCAGGAAATGGTTGGGGGTTCCTGAGGGCAGCTAAAACACCAAGTTAGCTGAAGGGTTTTTTGGTATGTTGAGCTCTTGCTTTTCTAATGGCAGAAATTTACCCACAGGTTTCAATAAGGAAGGTGAAGAACAGACTTGGTGCATAAAGACTTTTTAGTGCTTTAAAAGGAGCCCTTGGAGCAGCCCCTTTGCTGTCAATGGGACAAGCAGTTTAGTTTAAGTTATGAACACTCACATAGGTCTTTGTAAGGTAGAGTGTGTAGCAGCTGTGTGGTGCTACAGCCACATGGTATGAGATAAGGCACAGTGAGAGCCCTGGGCTCAGGCTTGCCGAGGTTTGTGCCTGTTTGTTGGATTGCTCTAGAGGGGTTGCAACAGAAAGAAAATTTTGCAAGAGACTCTGGATAAGACATGAGTGGAAAAAATCTGCCCTCCATGGGGAGTTATCCACATGGAGAGCAAACAAGAAAGTTTCAGAGAAATACCTGGAGAGTGTTGCAGTGATGAAAATCAGATTTTCTTTCCTAGACCTTACCCTGAATATTAACTTCTCCTTCAGAATCTGCCAACTTCAGTGTTTTGAGCCCTGTGGAGTTACTCCTGTGCACAAACAGCACTGTTGCTGCTGTGAGAGGGGACAGTGGCAACATGTTCATTTTTGTGTAGCTGTAATTAGCATCACACATGAATGGAGAACATGCTCTGGCCTGGCAAGCAAATTGGGCAAAAATATATTTATGTTAGGGCTATGTTACATTGGGAAGAGACTATGAGGAGCAGGGCAGTGTTTCTGCAGTACTGTGATGCCAGACAAGATAGGAAAGGTAGTGTGCATAGTCCTGAAGAGCCCTGGCTTAAGGAGACATCTCCTATGTCCAGTCAGTCACCTGCTTAATGTGGAAGGAGTCACTGAAGCAGAGGCAAAGGAAGATGGGAGCCCTGGGGGAAGGTGGAAGCTATGGGGGAGCCAGACAAGGTAAATGTGCCAGCTGCTGGAGGAAAGAGGAGATGAAAGGGAAAAGAAGAGTGAAGAACAAAGCAGAGATGTCAAGGAAAGGTGGGGAGGGGAAACGGGAGATGATGGCACTAAAATTAGACAGGGAAGCGGGACAGGGAGAGCTGATCCGTTGCACTCCCCTCGGACGAAATTCCCGCTGAAGCTGCTTTCAAATCTGGCCTGGGGAGGGAGGAGAACTGGAAAAGAGAAAAGATGGGGTGTCACTGCAGCACCCCAAGCTGCTCAGAGAGGATTTCTCTGGCCCCAAGAGGAGCCAGCCCTGCTGTCCCCAGGCACTATTTCAACCTCCACACCCCCTGAGCATCATCTTCACCCTGGGAGACACCACCCAGTGTGAAATCAATGTCTTGTGTTTATGAATCTGCACTGCGTTTAACTGTTTCAAACCAATTTTTGCAGGTGATTCCTAATTATATGCTACTAGTCACAGCCCACAAAAAGCTAATGAAACCCTTGCCATCAATTAAATGTAATTTCTGCATGTTGAGGTGGAAGCGAGGAAGGCAAAAGATGAAGTCAAACTTTCCCCTGGCTACAGCTATGGGAGCCAACTCTGGAAACCTCTCAGAACCTGAATGAAACCAAGATCTGAACTAGGGCTAAGAAATGTTTTCTATTTATTCTCTGGTGTGTGCAATTCTGAAGGGTACAGAGAGCTCTTCTGCCCGTTCTGACGACCTGAAGGCATCTGGTATAGGAAGTGGTGTAGGGTTGAAAGAATCCAGCCATGCAATTTGCAACTAAATGGTTACTTATAGTATAAAAAAAATCTGACAAAAAGCATGGAGAATGAGGCCCAAGGACACTGCCTCTTTCAGTGTTGTTAAGTAGTGGTAAGAATAAAAGCAGTGTAAATGTGTTTTTCTTTCATTTGCAAAGCTGTATGTTTATCTTCTTCTTCTGTCCTAGTTGCTATATGCACTAAGTGTCTTTAGAGATGCTATATATATGCTGAATAACACACAATATTCTTCAAAGTCACTGGAAGAACTTGCACATCAGTTGGTTTCAGACAAAAACACCCTCCTGACCCCTTGTTTCTTCCAGGAAAGGAGGGAGGTCTGTTCTCAAGGTTGTCAGGGTAAGTAACACACATAGTTTTATGTCAGTTTGTCCATAGTGGTCTGAAGGCCATGGTGTGTTTCGGAATACGACCCTTCGAATTAGTTCATCTAAGAAAGAAAAGCTGATAGTCCACTCCCCATGAGAGGAAAAAGTCAAGCCTTTGATATCTTGCTGCTTTATTCACCCAGCAACACCTCTATTAAAAACTCTCTGCAGTATTTCTGGAATGCATGACAAGCAGGGCAGCAGCAAGGGAAGGAGCAGTGCTCTGAGGTAAGGTAGGCTCTTGCCTGCCCAGGCTGGGAGCGTGTGTGTCTTGGTGCTGCACGTGCATCACAGCACACCTGAGGGGGGGACTCCCACGCTGTGCAGCCCACGCAGCCCCTTGTGCTGTCATCCTACACCAGCAGACCCCATTCCTGTGAGGACCACCCCCACCTGCCTGAGGGGAGTCCAGATACCACGGGCAGCTGTGCAGCACATGGACTGTGCGTTGGTGGCCTCTGCACCCTGAGGGCGGTGGGTGTGTAAGGCTGGGCACTGGGGTTCCATCATAGAATTGTTTAGGTTGGAAAAGACCTCTAAGATCAAGTCCAACTGTTAATCCAGCATTGCCAAATCCACTACTAAACTATGTCCCTAAGTACCACATGAAGTACCTCCAGGGATGGTGACTCTACCACTTCCCTGGGAAGCCTGTTCCAGCCTTCACCTTTCAGTGAAGAAATTTTTCCTAATATCCAGCCTAAACTTCCTTCACCTTTCAGTGAAGAAATTTTTCCCAGTATTTAATCTAAACTTCTCCGGTGCAACTTGAGGCCGTTTCCTCTTGTCCTGTCACTTGATACCTGGGAGAAGAGACCGTCCCCCCACCTGGCTACAACCTCCTTTCAGGTAGTTGTAAAGAGCGATAAGGTCCCCTTGTCCCTCCTTTTCTCCGGGCTGAATACCCCCAGCTCCCTCAGCTGCTCCTGATCAGACTGATGCTCTCGATGTCCCCTGCTGGGAAGAGGCTCCTTTGCCACTGGACATCCCCTTCCCTGCACGCCCTTGCACCAGCCTGCGGGCGCTGTCCCCTCTTCCCGGACCGGGGTGCAGGGAAATGGCAGTGAAGGGGGAGCCGGGCGCTGCCCCCCGCCCCGCGGAGCGCCGGAACTCACACTAATAATCGCAATAATAATGATAACTGTTTAAGACAGCGGGGGCAACGCCCCTCCCGGCCCCCGCCGCGCCCCGTCCCTGCGGGCCCGGGACCGGCGCTGCCGCAGCGCCCGGGGCTGGTCGGGGCAGCCCCGCCGCGGCTGCGGGCGCGGGGGGCGGTGCGGGGAGGATCGGCCAGTGCAGCCCCCTCCCTCCCTCTCTCCCGTCTCCCCTCCTTCTCTTCCCTCTCTCCTCCCCTCCCTCCCCTCGGTCCCTCCTCCCATGCCAACCTGCTGCCGCCTTTGTCAGCGCAGCCCGGCGCTATGGCATCCTGCCGGGGCTTCGGGCTCGGGCTCTTCCTCCTCTTCCTCCTCCTCCTCCTGGCCGGGAAGCGGCTGCTGCAGCAGCAGAGCCAACCGTGACGGCCGCGCTGCCCCGGCCAGAAGCAGGCGGAGCCCCCAGGTGAGCCCCAGGTGAGGGAGGGGTGGGCTGGCAGAAAGGGGTGGCGAGGACAAGCGCCCCCCGCTCCCCAGCGCCAGGGATGCTCTGGGCACCAGGGGTGCTGGGAAGCGGGTTCAGCACCGGCTCCCCCCTGCCGGGCTGGGAGAAGGAGGGGTAAGTGCAGACAAGAGACCTCCCGCAGCCCCTGTGGTCCCCACCGGTGCCCCAGGTCCCACCTCTTTGTCAGGCTCCCCGGGAAAGGGGGGACTCCAAAATCTTAAAACTCTTATCTGTGACTTTGGCAGCTCCCCTTCAGTCCAACACAACTGGACCTGCCCGAGGGCAGCTGGAGGGGAGCAAGTGGGTGACCACCGAGCTGGGCCCCGGGGCCCCCAAGCCCCAAGCTGGAAGCCTGGAGGAATGGGGAGCGCCAGAGATGGGAAGCTGGAACCACCAGGGCGAGGGAGCAGTCAGGTCCAGAGTGACAGTGAGGTTGTTATAGGTTTGCTATGCAAAAATCCAGGTTGCCCACAAATGGGGTAAATTGCTCACATTTAATTCAATTAGAGTTTTTTGTGTCTGTCAGTGTTTGCAATGGTGTCTCCTTATGCAGAAATTTCCGGGAAAAATGTGACTTGGATGTGGTCTAATAATGTATTGGGAGGACAGTATTTGTGTGTCTGTATGGGCCAAGAGTTGGCAAAGAATAACCAAGAGTGTATGATGCAGTAATAATTCAAGTAATTTATTGCACAGTTTTAGAATGATTGTTTGCACTTTTCCAGATCATAGAAATACCTTAACCTGGATTGCATAACTGAACCATGCAAATAATCAGCTTAATGTTACTGTGCAAGAAAAATCAATGACAAACCTGGTTTGACTTGAGTCCTCATACGTCTGTGACGGTTTGGTGCCTTTACCCACAAGTTCCCCGTTAATTTATGCACTCAGATCTTTTAAAAACTGCTGAATTCTGGGCGGCTGGGTTGGCTGAAGTGTTGTGCAGAGTCCTTTAACAGCAGAGCCTGCCTCTGTTAAGGAGCTGGGTTTGTAAAGCGCGGTTTTCTAGGGCTCATTCACACAAGATAAGAGCCAGAAAATAGCAACTTCTTCCAGCGCTAGTCCCAGCGACTCCCCGGTGAGCCGCGGGTGAGGTTGGCGGTGGGATGCTCGGGAGTGTGCAAAGCGAGCGTCGTTCCTGTGCAGAACAGCAGCGAGCCACTGGTGAGGCGGGTGCACCAGAACCATTGAGCTCCCAGGCTGCAGACGTTCGTTCCCTTCGGTTCTAAAGGAGTGAATAAAACCCACATCAGCAAGGCAGGGAGCCAGAACCAACTCCTACCTGCCCCAGGGACCGGAGCCCACCCTGCTCCTGCACGGAGCGGTCCGGAGGAGCCAACCTGTGTCAGGCTCTTCGGGAGGACTTTGCAATGAAAGGTGGAGAAAAACAATTGCCATCGCGCGGCCAGGGCTCTGAAGTGCGCTTTTTAGTTTTCTTTTTAATGAGCGGTAGAAGGCTGGAGGGGGGGAGGAGGAGGAATAAGGTGTGCGGAGACGGGCATTGTTTCCCTGAGTGCTGGCTCCCGTGTGTGTGCACGATGGAAGCCAGATGGGGCTCGAGGTTCCTTCATCAGAAATTTCTTAATGTTTTGACAGAGAAATGGATTCGCGAATATGGGAGAAAACAAAAACTGAATTCCATCTCAATGGGTTATATGTTTCATGCGAGGCGAGCGTTGCCTGCCTTGTTTTATAGTATCTGGTGTTGGGAAGACAGGCTGAATGATTTATGAGCTCAAGTTAATAGTAAAACAGCATATCACAGGCTCTGTATTAATGTTCTCCTGTGCTGAAGTAGCTGGCTCTTTCTGAGGGAATTTATGCAAGGATCACTCGCTCTGTCTGCCGTCACCGTAATGGCATTCTGGGGTGGCCCGTTAGTCACCGTGGGGGGAAGCAAAACAAGGATGCTGCTTCCCTCTCGGCTAGCAAATCAAAGGGAGAGGGGAAATGATGACTCCAGCAGTCACATCTGTGTATTAGCTGCACCTGCTGTGGATATTGGGAAATGGGGAGAGCAAATGTCAGAGGCACAAAGACCAGGGAAGGAAATGAAGGAGGAAATAAGAGAGGAAGATAATGTGGTCTGTCTGCCAGTGGCCGTGATTCAGACTCGTGTAAGGCACCTTGGCACCTTGCAGCTGCTCAGGGAAGTCGAGTGGTGGGACTTTATCTTGAATCCTGTGCTGGGGTTTCTCTGCCCCACTGTGCACTGCCCTTAGCCCATTTGATGGGGCAGGATTTGGGCTGAAGGTGTCATGGGGAAAGCAGCCAGGGCAACTGGGGAGCAGTACCAATTTCATGAATTCCTGTGGGTGGTGAATTCATAGGGTAGTCAGGAGGTGAGGGACCCCCCCCCCCAGTACTGATTTGGGAGGTGGTGAGAAGAAAAAGTGCATTCTGGCTTTTCTACAGGGAAGCAAGCTGCCTGAAAGAGTCTGCAGGTTCCCCTGGTCTGGAGAACCACAGGGGAGAGGTTTTACAGAGGCTTGATTCCTAAAGACACCAGAAAATAGAACAGTATATTCCCTTTGTGCAGCAGAAAGCTCCACTGGGGATGGAGGTTGCAATTGTAATATTCTTGGACTTCTCCAGAGGCTGAAGATAGTGGGTTAATGGTAAGATGAGAGCTCAGTTCATTGCTCTTGGTGCAGGGCAAAAAGACATTGATTTGTGGTAAGTCTGGAGCTCATCTGTGTGCAAGGAGAGTCAGACCCCATCGACTGGCCATGCAATATGATGCTGTACAAGTCCATGCTGGGATATAATTGTGCTATTAGAGCAGCAAATGTCGAATATTGAGAAGCTGAGTCAAAGTAACCCTCCCAGTGTTAATATAACAAAACCATTAAGGATGAAATGTTAAGTGGCTCCTTTGGTCAGAGATGGTCTTGCTGAAGATAAATAAGCTAGATCCTGTCCCTGTGTCTGGTTAGCTCCATGTCTCTGGAGACCAAAGTCAGTTTGAGGGGGGATGTTAGAGGCTGTGTGTAGCTGCTGGTAGTGAGGGTAAGGCACAAGGACCTCAGTGGAATTGAGGCCATCTGAGGAGACCCTGTGCTGCTGCTCTTGCTGAGGGTGCTTTCATTCACCTAGCTGCTTTTGACTGATTCGTGACCCTGTACCCTCCTTAGAAGATCCTTCTGTGCTTATTTCAGAGCTCTGCATTTATGTGCTACGTCCAGATCTATTCTGGTCCTGCTTTGAGAGATAATGAATGAATGTGGACATAACAGCTGAGACGGTGCATGACCAAGTGCTTGGCACCTGGGATGTGGCAGCTCCTGGGGTGACTTGCCAAGAGGCACCTGTCTCTGTCGCAGGCTGTTAGGAGACTTGACAAGAGACAGAGGAGCCTAATGTGCCACAAAAAATTTTGGCACAAGGTTTTTACGTCCCTGGCCCAGGAAACAAGATTTCAAGGCCCTTATATATTATCCTTATGGAGTGGTACATCCTATTCTTCACAGCCTGAATGTGTTGATGATGCTCCACTAGCAATGTTTCTGATGCTCTGGCACAAGGGAGCACCCATTTCCATGCACAGGCTGAAGCCCAGAGGTACCTTTCACACCTAAAGATCTCTCACACCAGAAAGCTGTTTGTGAAAAGCCAAGGGTTGAAGAGGAAATTATTCCAACTCCTAGTTAGCTTTCTTTTCCTCAAGGCCTACATCTGATTTTGCAACCTGCCTTTTCATTTCCCACCTCCTGTAGCTGAGGCACAGTTGAGCGAACTGGCCGAATTCCCACCTTGGAATGTTCAGCTCTCTCCTGGTCACCCCTGTCTCAAAGCCTGTGACACCTCCCTGTATTCTCACTTCTTTATAGCTGACTGCCACCTCCCAGGCTTCAGTCTGGGAGCACAGGATCTGAACTGAGCTAAGCCAGGTCTAGTAGAGCTCTTCTGCTTGGGATCTGTGCTTCACATCTGCTTGGGTGTGGGCTGGGGTCCTCAATCAAAGGCTCCTTGTTGGTGCTAAATAAAAACAGTGTGAGGCTGGGGGTTTGCAGAAGGGCTTCCACTCAACTTAATGAATATGTCAGCACTCAGCAGCTTTGAAAATCAGGCTGCACCTAAGTTTTACCAGATGCATAGAGTTTAGAAACCTGAATTGAAGTTAAAACCTCTGATGCTAAGAATGCCTTGGTACAAAGCAAAAAAATTCAAGAAACTGTACCCAGAATATCCTCACTGGGATGAGAGAGTAAACACAGAAGGGTGGGGAACAAAATGGTTTGACAGTTTACAAAAATACATTATCACAAATTGGCTACTTGTGTGTTTTTGAAGGAGTGTGAAGGAGGAGAAGGCAGGGCACTGGCAGGCCAGTGCAGGGAGCTAGAGTGTGCATCAGGCTCTGAAAATGCGCATCCAGGTGAGGGTTTTTGCAAGAAGCTGTGAAGTTACAAACGGGAGGAGATAGTTGCTTTTGCTGGTATTCAGCCTGGAGATGACAAAAAGACATATTTTCACTCTTGTCCTAGGTGGCAGATTTATAACATGCAGAAAATTGACTTGTGATGCCAGTCCCCTGGCAGCTGGGAATGTCTCTGAGTCCCACATGTGAAGTTTACTCTGTGAGGAATTGGTGGCCTTAGTGGCACGTAGCATGATTTGGACCTTGGAAGCATCATTGTCCAATGGTGACACATCAGAGAAATACAAAGCAGGCTGTGGAAAAGGCTGTGCCTTGGAGCACACACTGCTCATAGAGAGAAAAGGGATACAACCACCCTCCTTCAGCCTTTAGCATTACTTTTTGGAGCTGAGCACAGAACAGGAAAACGTTTTTTTGTCTTTTGTCAGCTGGCAGAAGGGTTGTGCTGCTATGCATAATACAGGAGCTTTAAAAGCAAAGATGCATGCAGCAGAGGTGTTGGAAAATCCCTGTAGCCATTGATTTCCAAGAGTCATGTTTACAATCACAGAAACACATTTAGGTTGCTGCTGCTCAGCTTCTGATCACACGCATAGAAAGATGCCTCTTAAATAAACATCCAACTCTGTATGGAGACTTGTTTCATGCTCTTATGGGCAACTGGGTGGTCTCTCTGGAAGATGCTACTGTGGTGTTTGCTGTGAAAGCTGAAGTATTCTGGCTTCTGACACTGATAGTGATTGCTAGTATGTAATGTGAGGGCAAGATGAAAGGCTACAAGAGACAAAACAGAAAAAGGACTCCTGTATTCCTGGAGTGGTGCTCAGGAGTCCTGAGGTTTTTGGCTGGGAGGTGACTTTTTAAATGAGTAATAATAAACCTTGAAAGGTCGACTTCTGTGCTTTGCCATTTGGGTGGATATTCTGCACTTGATGGAGATGGAGAGGCTAATTCCAGGTGTCATCTAAGGGTGGGAGTAAATGGGAGAATATACCATACCTTTTGGGGAAGGGAAAATATTTTTGTCATTCCTATCAGTAAGAATAACAGACTGAGTGACCAAACATATTAATTGGCAGACTGCATCATCCCATGCTCTGTCTTTTCTAGTACCCAACCGCAGAGACACCGACAAGGATATTCACAATAGACAGATGAAAAATCATCACCATCCTTTCCTAATCCATAATAGCTATAGGTTGGTTTCAACTCTGAAAGTGCAGAGGTTTATATCCTTCCCAAGATGTTTGCTGGTGTTAGCTGTGCTTGTCCAAGCTATTCCTGTTATCCACATAAATGTGCAGCTTTTGCTTTCCACCTCTGCCCTGTCATTTTGGGATGGTGAATGGAGATGCACTCTCAGGTTTCTCTGGGAGCACATTGCTGAAGAGGATGTTCTGTGTTCTTGCTATTTCTCAGTCTTCAAATCCACCCAGATTGGCAGCCAGCCCTCTAGCATCTGCTGGATTGGTTTCAAGGTTCAGCGGGATTTTTTTTTTTTGTTTAACTCTTTCTGTTCCTTGCTAAATTTTGCACTTTAGAGCTGAAACTGGGGCTCACACAGACTTTTCATGTGGGACCTGGCAACTTTTCCATTCCTGAATCATAACTTTGGAAAAAGTATTTCTGGGAAAAAATGTCAAGGTATCCAAAGGAGATAATTCAGAGTAGAGGAGAAAATAATGATTTAAAATAATCAAGATGGTAATTACATGCTCAGATAACTTCTAAACATGTTAGAAGTTTATTGTCAGAAAATCTTCCCGAGAGCCATTTGCATTCAGATATGAAAACAGCTGGGGTTGTCATGGTGCAGTAGATCACCTCTGGTTAGGCCTGGGCTAGAACTATTGCCAAGCAATTTGATGTCTGTGCTTTGAACCTCTCACACATTGGTAAGAAATTCTGTGAAAGCCCCGTAGCAAGCAGGTTGGGATTGTCTATCTGCCCATAGTTCAGCCCCTCCAAAACTTCTGCTGTTTATTCACTTAGTTGCTTTAGTAAATATGGACATAAATGAGCCTCCTTGGATAAAACCCTGACTCCATTTGAGTATTGATTTCATTGATGCAAGGATTACAGCCTGGAGTTTGGAACAAGAGGATGGGTTATAAAAGCAAGCCCTGGACTGCATGGCTAGGGAGCCAGGCCCCATCTGGGGCTGAGTTACAAGGTCCTGGGTATTATCTGTGGGTGACTTACAATCTTTTTTGTGTTGCTGTAGAAGTGGAACGCAGTTTCCAGGCTAAACAACAAAATACGCGTAAGCCATGGAGTCCAACCAGGAATCCTCACTCTTCCTGGTGAAGATACTGGAGGAGCTGGACACAAAGCAGAATACTGTTTCTTACCAGGATCTCTGCAAGTCCCTGTGTGCAAGGTTTGATTTATCCCAGTTGGCCAAGCTCAGAAGCGTGCTGTTTTACACTGCTTGCCTGGATCCTAATTTCCCAGCGACTTTGTTCAAAGACAAAATGAGATGCACTGTAAACAATCAGCAATCAAAGAAAATCATGGTTGCAGCAGATATAGTAACAATATTCAACCTCATACAAATGAACGGGGGAGTGGCCAAGGAGAAGCTTCCAGTTGCAAGGCATAAAGTGAAGAAGAAAGAGTCCTTTGAGTCCTGTAGGTCTGACACAGAAATCTGCAATATGGCAGACTGCGTGCCCGACTGCATGCCCAACTGCGAGCTGAACGACCAGGAGTTCAGCCAGGGCTTTCCAGTCAGAAGGTCTTCAAAATGCAGAAAGATGGACTGCAAAGACTGCCAGCAGTTTGTCCCCTCATCAGAACCCAACTTTTTGCTTGGCGTTAGTAAGGACATGAAGGGCCGGGCTGCCTCTCTGGACAGGCTGCAGGCACTGGCGTCCTACTCCATCGCCACTTCCCCACCATGTGAGATGCAGAGTACATATTTCCCCATGAACATTGAAAATGAATCTATTTCAGACCAGGATTCCTTGCCTATAAGTGCAGGCATAAAGGAAACTTTCATTTCAAATGATGAGCCTTTCATGATGCAGTCGTGTGTCCAGAAAAGAAATATATTCAAAGAAGATTTTCATAATCTGATTACAATATCTCCCAACTTAATACCATCCAACAAAACGCCAGAAGATGGACACAGAGAGCCTCAAAACAGGAAAGAAAGCTCTAAGCAGACTTTCTTTAACCACAGCTTTGAAATGCCATACAGCAGCCAGTACCTGAATCCAGTTTATTCTCCTATGCCAGACAAAAGGCGAGTGAAGCATGAAAGTTTAGATGATCTTCAAGCTTCAACATATTTTGGCCCAACTACTGTTCTTGGACCCCAGGACACCAAAAAGTGGACTGGAAAGCCAACCAAGCAGACTGCCTGGCCAGCTAAAAGCTGGAGTTTAAATACTGAGGAGGTCCCTGACTTTGAACGATCATTTTTTAATAGGAAACAGTCTGAAGAGAAACCACGATACCAGGCTTCCAGCAACCCATCTCCAAACTTTCCTTCAGTTGACAGACATCAGTCCTACCTAAATGCGAAGGATCAGCAACCAATTATGCAGGCAAACTACGCTGTGAAACCCAATGGGCACAAACCCAAGGAGATTCCGTCCATTCTAGATGTGGAGAAACATGAGCCAGTCAAAAAGTTTAAGGATAAAAGCATTAATTGTACTTCTGTCCAGATCTTAAGCATTGACAGGACCATGAGTGTTGGGACACAAACGGAGCAGCAAGTTCTGGACCACAAGAAATGCAAGGATCTGTGTGCAGCTGGCCAAGCCAAGTACAGCGAACGGCACTCTCTTAAGCAGTCGGATGATGACTCTGAAATTGTGAGTGATGACATCAGTGACATTTTCCGGTTTTTGGATGACATGAGTATCAGCGGCTCCACGGGAGTGATGCAGTCTTCATGCTACAACAGCACTGGTTCCTTGTCTCAGGTGCATAAATCAGACTGTGAGAGCTCACCTGAGCACAATTTGACTAAGATCTCCAATGGGAGTGCCTGTAACAAATTGGATAAAGTGGTCCGGGCAGACATCAGTAACACAGATGATGAACTGAAAACGAGTGTCTGCAAATTGGTCTTGAGGATTGGCGAAATAGAGAAGAAACTGGAATCTCTCTCAGGTGTCCGAGAAGAAATCTCTCAAGTCCTGGGAAAATTAAGCAAGCTGGATCAAAAAATCCAGCAGCCAGAGAAGGTCAGTGTACAAATAGATCTCAATTCTTTGACAAGTGATGCCGCATCAGATGAGAGTAACTCCCCGCAGATATTTCAGTGCCACAATACTCCTCATGGAGGCAAACTGGAGAACAATCCAGAATGGTGCTGTTCAGATGCCAGTGGAAGTAATAGTGAGAGTCTTCGAGTAAAAGCCTTAAAAAAAAGTTTGTTTACTAGGAGGTCATCGAGATCCTTAACAGAAGAAAACAGTGCAACCGAATCCAAAATAGCAAGTATTTCCAACTCTCCCCGAGACTGGAGAGCTATTACTTACACCAACAAAGTTGGCATTACAGAGGAGGAAATGAAAGAGAGAGATGGAGGAGAAAATAAGGATTGGCACAGGAAACCTAAAGAGGTAATTTCAACTTTAACTCACATAATAAGCACTTAAAAAAAAATCTAGTTATGAATGTGTTCCATAGTCATCACAAGCCTAGGGGTGTGACAATACTTTGCCCTGCCATGTTATGTCTGTCTTTATTGTTACCATAACTGAGTGATTTTACACCTATATGTACTTGTTGGCAGCTGCAAAATGATCAAGTTGCTCCTTAAAAGCTTTGTTTTTTTGGAAAGGGAAGGGGGTAATGTGGGTGACATGTGTGGAGGATGATGGTATTCTTCATCATCAGTGGCAATATAAGAGGCCTGATAATTATCTTGGTGAAAAGGGTGTGGGGAAAATTGATGTTCTCTAGTGGTTGTTTTAGAAGGGATATTTTGAAATTGAATTGTGACGGCTTTTGTCAGAGGAGTATGTACATATTTAAAAGCCAACAAAATGGATTCGTGAATTCAAATCCCTCAAGAAAAGAATGCTTGTATGTGTGCTGTGAGATGCTCATTGTAGTTATGTTCTCTCTGTCTGACTTTGATGGCCATTTAAATGAATCTTAAGCCTTCCCTTGTGGAACTGCAGCATAGCTGTGGTTTTGGTTTTGTTGGTCAGAAAAACTCTGCCCATCCTCCCCACAGCTCCCCACTGCCCCTGTGCTTGTTCCTGTTTCATGAACAGTGAGGAGGGTTGGGGGTCCTGCAGCACCCTTGTCATCTGGGACCACACGATGGGAATACTGTACCTCCTTATGATGGAAAATGAGGGCAGAGAAGGGTTGAGGGTTGAGAAGGGAGAGGAAGAGGTTTGATGGAAATAAGTGCAGTGAGGTGAACAAGAAACCATAAACCATGGGCTCTTACTAGACTGCAGAAGGGGAAGGTTACCCTTAGTAAGCCCAAACCCTGGGTTTTCTGTACATTGCGCTTCTCAAGATGTCATTTGGTTTCGAAAGTCCCTTCCTCACTCCTGCAGTGGACTGTGGCTGACACTGGATGGTACCACGGATGGTGCAGTGTCAAGGGTGTGCTATCTAGGGCCCTCCCTAAGACTGCTTCATGTTAAGATTTGATCTGGAAACAGAAACCTGGAAGCCTGCATGTGTCTCACAGCCTTTGCAGATCAGCTTGGCTTCTCTGGATGTCAGGGCCATTTTCAGAATAGTTTTATGATCTGTAAACCGTATAAACCCTAAATTTCCTCTTCTGCATCAGCATTGTGTTCATATTATACCGAATGTGGAATTATGTCTGTAAAATACCACTTGGTCTGGTTGTGAGAAGAAGGTGGGCAAATGGATTAAGGCCATCCAAAACCTTTATCCTAGCTGGTAATTTTTTTATCATGTGGTGATTCTGAAAGGAATATCTCTGTCCTTTGTGTTTAACTCCCTCATAGTCCTATTTTTTCTCTCAAATTCTTTTGAACCCTATTGCAGGCAGACAGGCAATACGAAATCCCACAGCCACATAGACTCTCTAAACAACCAAAAGATGCTTTCTTGATTGAGCAAGTCTTTAGTCCTCATCCCTACCCTGCATCACTCAAGTCACACATGAAAAGCAACCCCCTGTACACAGACATGAGGCTGACGGAGCTGGCTGAAGTGAAACGCGCCCAGCCGTCATGGACCATAGAGGAATACACGAGGAATTCGGGGGATAAAGGCAAGATTGCAGCGTTGGATCTACAAGTGAGTCCCATTTGTTTGATTTGAATAGCTTGATTGCAAATGGATGTTGCCACAATATGCATCTAAGAAGGGATTTGGATAGCTCAGGAAGGAGCTGTGCAGTGTTGAGCCTCTAATCGTGCTGATCCCTATCCATCCTGGCCAGGGACAATGAAGAATGTGGGTGTTTCATTGCAGAATGGTGATCCTTGACAGGTTGATGCTCCCAGCTAAGTCTGCAGTGGAGAGATGTCTGCTAAGCCACTGTGGTTTTAGTAGGTCTAAAGAAGAGTTGGGGTATAAAGGACCGCGGAGGTGATTTGGCCCCTAACTGCAGCAAGGCAGAGTGGTGCAGAAACTGGAATCACTGCTTTTTCTTCTTTGTTCTGTCTGAATTATTCACAGAAAATTGAGGTGTTAGGGTTTTTTTCATTTTACTAGGAATATGAGATATAAAATGCTTGTAGAAGATGTTCAGTACTATGACTAGTTTTGAAACCCGTCACCATTGCAGCTTTGAAGTGGCTGTTGGAAACCAGCCAGTCAACTAAAGCATTGTTTGCATTTTGGTTCAGCTTGTAAGTGTGCAGAATCTTGTGCAACAAGCACAGCAGAGCAACTTACTGGGAGACAAACTCAAATTTTGGATTCAAAATTTCCCAAACTGTTTTGTATTTGAAATCATGAACCTGATATAAAATGAGCACCCACATTGGATACCCTGTCTAGCCTAATAAACACAAGACCTCTTCTAGGAAGGAAGGTATCTGAGCACAGGTTTAAAGAGGAAGCCTGAGGAATGACATCCAAATGTGTAAAGACCAAATAAATGTTGCATTATTTCGTCTTGAAACCCAAAATGCGTCACATAATGAAATCCACTCTGATGCACAGATCACTGTGTATCATTTTGACAGTAGAATGTAGAACCAGTGGGAATCTGGTGCTGACCTCAGACATTCTGGTCTCCTTGCACGTGTGTGCGTGTCCCAGAGCAGAGCAGGCTGCCCCAGTTAGCTACAGGCTTGGCAGCAGTTGGGGTGCACTGACCTACAGCTCAGGGTGTGTCAGCCCTGCAGTCGTTCTGTGTCCAGCAGTCTGTGGGGTGCAGCCACCCTCAGGGAGGGAGCCTGCTTGTCTCCACAGCTTGTCTGCCAGCGAAAGTGGCATGCAGGAGCCTTAGACTTGCTGCTTCATGCCAGCTCTCAATGGCTCAATGCTGAGGTACCTAACCCAGCTCCAAACCCATCAGACTAAGCCCTAGGAAAGCATCAGGATACTGTGAGAAAGACTTGGATAGACCAAGTCTCAGGACCCACGCCATGCCTCAGGACCTCTAGTTGGCTGGTTTGGAGTTAAAACCATTACCCACACAGTGCTGTAGTGCAACTCCTATGAGTGTTTGTGCAGAAATTTCTGCCCAAAAAATTCACCTTCTCGCTCAGCTCATGCAAACTTCCCTGTCCTCACCAGCCCCTGCTCCTTGCTGTGGTTAAAGTGCCCTTGGAGAGAAACCAAGCATCACAGGGACCAGGCTGCATCTTGCCTTAGCTGCCTGCTGCTTTTTGGGTCTTAAAAGCTTTAGAGGGCTTATTAAATTCCTAACCCTGGTATTGCACGCTGCTTGCTAGAGTAGGGGTAGGCTGGCAGAAGTTCCTCTGCAGCAGACAGTCACAAAGCATCCCTTACCTGCTGCATGAGGCAGTAAGGGAGGTGATATCTGGGAGCAAAGCTCCCTTGGGAGAAGTGTTTTCCATCTGCTCCTCGTAGGGCTGTTTCGTTCTGTGTGAGCAGCCCTGCGTGACTATGAGCAAACCAGAGAAAGCTGCTTATTGCCATCATTTATCTTTAGGATAAAGGTGATAGAACTTTACTGGTTTGATTCTCTCCCTCCAAAGAGACTGTCAGAATTGCATCTACCCCGCAAAGCCCATGTCTAGACTTTGTAATAGAGCTTACTGGCAAACTTAAAAAATAGACACAGACTGATGAGTGGGTTTTTTTCCCAGTGATTAAGTTTATTAGAACTGAAAGTAAATACATTATGCCTTAATGAACATTCCTACGTCTGGCAATGAAATGGGAAAGGAAGCTGATTAACAGTAATGGGCCTTTTTAATAATGCATCTTCCTTCTGAAGCAGTTAAAAGGTCAATGCCAAGGCAGAGGGGTCCAAAACTGCAATTTCCTTGAAGCATAGTATGGCTATTTTTGGGATTTTTCTACCTTTGTTTACTTAAAATTTCTCCTGGAGCTTGACAGTCTGCTGGGTTTTTCTCCTAAAAAAGAAACTGCAAAACTAGTCAGGCCAAAGCTTGTCCCAGGTGTGGGCTCTGTGTGAGATTCATTGCTTTGCTCTGTGTATGATGATCCACTGGGATGAAACAGTGTCAGGCTGTTTTCTGATGCCTTCAGAGATGAGATTGCTGATTTTTTTCAGAAGGCTGGAACAGGTCATTCAGACCCCAAATGGTGCAATCCCAGGTGTGGCTGATGGTCTCTGTTTCAGCATACTAACACTGTCATAGCGGCCTCCATTAAACGATAATAAAACCATTGCTCAGTTTTCGTTGTTTATTTCTGGGGTAGCTACAAAATCACTTCTTGTGGTAGTTCTGTACATAAAGCAAACACTGCTATCAGGCAAAGCAAAGTTTCAGCCAGTAGCTCATGGCCACAAAAATCTGAATTAGTCAATTAAAGGCTTACTCAAATCCCTCTCAAGTCAGCTGGAGTTTCTTTGCAGGGTCCAAAAAGCTTTGGATGAGGACTGTTACATGCACAGAAATGGTGTGTGTTAGGATATTCTCACTGTAACATTTTTATGTAGAATCTTTTTCATTTTTAAAAAAGAAATAGCCTTTTGGAACCCTAGACACAGGAGACAGCTTTGAGGAAATGCTGTCATTTTTCAGAATGTTCTTTTTGTTTTATTTCTTTCTTCTGGTAAGTGCAATATAATACCTAGTGTTTGAGTTTCCCCAATTTTCCCCCCATTTTCCTCTAACACAAAGGTTGGAGGGAAAAAACAAGCAAGGTGAAAATGCAAAGCTTGAAGAGCTCATAAATACTTAGGAATAAAAAACTAAAATAAATAAATAAATCATTCAGATGGAGATACTGATAAGTGCAGGCTGCCTTTCATTTTTGTGACCATTTGAGATTCCCTTCACTTTTTTTCTGTTTTTTTTGTCAGCTGCATGGAATGGGAGGGCAAAGTCTTTGTGGAAACTCCCTTGGAATCCCACTCTGTGAGGTGCTCAGCACCCACTGCCTGTGGTTGAAGGGCTGGAATGAAGGGCTGGTATCCCCAGGCATTGCCATTCCAGAGGGGGTTCTGCAAATTGCCCCTCCAGCAGGACTGGGTGCTGGATGGGGCTGGGCAGTCACACCCTGCAAGCAAGTCATGGTAGCAAAATTAGGATTATCTTTACAAAACATAGTGCATGAGGAACATATGTTAAGAACCCTTCCCATCAGCTGAGCTTTAATAATTTACAAATTATTAACAGTAACAGGCCGGTGCTTGCTGACATCTCTGGTGTCTAGCAGATTAAAGAGATTTTATTTAAATGCCATCTGAGATGACGAAGTTTCCAGCAAATCAGAGGTATGTGAGGGATTTTGCAGCAGAATCTTACTGTTGCAGGAGTTTATTTTTTGCAGTATTTTGTTACCACTTTTGTCAGCTTTGTGGAATTGGGACCAGGAGTTGAAGGGATGTGAGAAGTGGCAATAACCCACTTTATCCTGGCAGCAGATCCAGATGCAGTTGGGAGGCCTTCAGGAACATCTGCTTTGTTTATTTTATTAATGACAGATCCCAGACAATTAACAACTGTTTCCTTTTAATTTTTAGACTCAAGAATCTTTAAACCCAAACAACTTAGAATACTGGATGGAAGACATTTATACTCCTGGCTATGATTCCTTATTAAAACGGAAAGAAGCCGAGTTCAGAAGAGCAAAGGTTTGCAAGATCGCTGCCCTGATCACAGCAGCAGCTTGTACTGTTATTCTGGTCATCGTAGTTCCCATTTGCACAATGAAATCCTGAACCTGTGGACAGACCCGTGACTCCCAGCCACGTGTATCTCAGATAGCTCACGCTGTGTTTCAACTGGCTGATGGCAAAACTGTAAGGAATTTGCTAAGGAACAATGTTGTGAGGATATACTGATGGAGAGTGCTGTAAATGAAGGCAAACTACAAAACAGATAGAGAAACATTTTTGGAAAAGTCTTATTTTAAATAACAGACTGTGTGGTGAAGTTAATGGGAACTTGGTTCAATTTTTATGCATTTTTTAAAGTGCAATATTTTTTTTTCCTAAAGAAATGATATTATGTTTTACAGAATCAGAGACTGATGAGAATCCAGGCAAAAGAAGAAGGTTATCTGAGCTATGTTGCATTTAATGGAGGTGTGGGTACATGGAGGTAGCACTGTATAGAAGGGAATGTTCTATATGCATTACATCAGGGAGCTAGGAAAGTCTTAAAGCTCTCTACAATGTAGAAAACTCTGAATGTATTGTATTTATTTTATAGTATTTATGTATTTCATGGTCATTTGATTGAAAGCAGACTGTGTAGCTGTGAACAGAGTTCATTCCTATGTTCAGATTAAAAAGGGCTCTTTGTATTTGGTCTTGCCCTAAGACCCACTCTATCATCACTGAGTACTTAGATAAGTGCAATGTGCTGCAGACCAAAAAGATTATGTTTTAAAGCAATCACAAGAGGTTTCAGTTGCTTCTGTTGAAAAACATTTGCATAGAGCTGGCAAGCTTGCCTTGCCAAAAGGGTATTCTTTACCTCTGCAGACAGTGAAATTGTCTCAATTTCACTCCTGCCAGCAAGCAAAGCTGGCAAATCAAAGCAACACTCTGTTAAAGTTCTTGGAAATGTAATCTGAACAGTTATAATTTTTTTCTCAAAGTCTTTGTGCCTTTTTTTAGACTGTAGATTAAATAGTACTGTTTTATTTTTTACTATTTTAAGCCCATAACATAATTCACAGCATAATGGGTACTAATGGAGGTTCTTTTCCCACAAGCCTTCTATACAGTTCCGAGTGCTCCTCAAGCAGCAGGGCTGGTGGTTACTGAGCACTTATATTAAGGGCACAATTTTTCAGCATTAGTAGAAACTTGCTGTTGATGCAATGCATTTGGCATGGGGAGATCTTTTGCTTCCCTCTTGCTGATGTATTTAAGAATAATGGTTGACTCTACTGGACAGCAAGAAGTCTGTATCCCATTGGAAATGTCCATTTGATACTTTATCCCAAATGCAAATAGCAGGTTTGATGGAATTCTCAGGCTAGGACAGAAATTGCCTGTCATGGTTAGTGAAAGCAAATACCCAGACAGTATTACTCTTCTGTCAAGTATAGATGGGAGGGGAAAAAAAAAAGTATTTTCAGGAAATAATGTGATCTTGCTGGTCCTCTAAGGGAAAGGAAATTCTTTTAGTGAATGCTCTTTTTATGTAGGATAATTTGGTTTCTTCAGAAGCAGCCTCCCTACACGATGACACAGCAGGTAGGAGAGCTTCGGATGCTCCTTTCTCTGGCTCTCTGGGATGTGCTGCACTCACTGTTTGTTTCTGGCTGGTTTAAAAAAAGTATTGAGGAAAGGGTGTGTGGGAGGCGAAGGCTTTGTTGTGACTTTAGATGTGTGTCAGTTCTTTCCTGCAGCTGGAGAACTGTTTATGCGCTGCTCGCGTGCTGTTTTATTTCGGGATAGGTGATCCCTGGGACTGTTGATCTGTCAGAAAAGTAAGTGTAAGCACAGGGTCAGGTGTCCCATCAGCAAATAGAGAACAAGAGTAAGCCCCCAGACAACATCTGTGCCTGCCTGGCCTGAATCCTGACCCAAATTCTGTAGCTTTTGGCCCATTCTTATTACCAAGATAATTTCTCTTTTCTCCCAGATGCTGCAGGATAGAGTCACAGCAGGGAGGGAGCAATTCACACTGTCTATTTTAGGCTGCCTTTGGTTATGGTATGATTCAGAATACCTGAGTACAGGAGCTCAGGATCCATATGTAGTAAATATAGACAGGTAGAGAAACCCCTGGGGACAATTCAGAGCTGCCAGCAAGATATCTAATATTAGACATGTGAAAATGCTCTGGGGGACACTGCAGTTTACCTTATGCACAATTTAGGTTGATTGTATATATTAAAAAAACCTGTTCCTGGTTCCAGGTAATGTCATAAAGCCCTTTGACACCCCTCCTTGGCCAGTGACAGGAGCACGGGGTGCTGTTGGAAGGAGCAGCGTGGCCCCGGGGCGGATGGCAGTGTCAGTCCCCCTTCTGCCCACATGGGTGGTGAAAGCCCCTGGGAGGGGCAGGATGAGAAGGGATGGATGCTGGGCAGATCCCCTGCCTTCACCAACCCCTCTTGCACTAGGCACAAGTGGTCTGACCCTGCTGCCCCCAGCCCCAAATCAGCAGCACTTTCTCCAGGGCATCTCAGCAATCTGATTTTAGAAAATATCTGACTATCTAAGGGGAGATATGAGAAAGATGCAGAAGATGTTGCTGATCACAGGTTTTGTCTATGCAGGGATTTTTAATTTGTCTGTGCAACTCATCCAGCTGGCACCAGATGAGTGTTTGCATTAGAGATGCCCAGAATCCTGGGAAGGGTTTTGCAGGTTATGGAGCCATGGGTGACATGAAGCTGGCCCAACCCAAGCACTCAGCATCCCAAGCATCCATGCTGCTCCTAATTTACTGAGGTACTTTGCCCATCTTTACTTTGCACAAGCAGCCAGTGGCACCCACCTCCATTGGGGCAATGGTTTCCTTACACACCAGACCATGGTTTGTCATGGATTCCCTCTTGGGGTTTGATTCGGCTCCTGCAGCCTCTGGGAACATTTCCATGGTACCAGGAGCCTGAGGGAAGCTGGGGGAGCGCAGTTCCCTGCCTCCCTGCTCTGCTAATACCTCTGTGAGCTGTTCTCCTCCACTCCCTGGCTGCCTCTGCAGGCAGCTGCTTGGCACCGTGGGATGTGCATCCCTAGCCATTCCCAGTGGGGTTTGATCTGGCACAGAGCCCTTCTTAAAATAGGCATGGAGATGGAGTGATGGGATGCTGCTACTGGAGGAAAGCAGCTGGGGAAGGAGGGACCCTGTGGTTCTGAACAGAGTGTACAAACTGGGTGAAATCCTGACATATTAACCTGCAAGAATATTGTGATCAATCTTGTGAACCAGTTACCAACTAGAATACACTGTATACTATATGATAGACTTTTGTATAAAAAAAATTAAAGCTATAGGTACATTGTAATCCTTGGTGTGATTGAAAAAAGTGTCCTAGATTGTATTACTTAATTAAAATAATGATGAGCATATTGAACTGTTTTTCGTATTTATGCCTTATAAACTTGATATATTACACATGATAAAATGAAACTGCAAGAACTATAAGAAAAGATACTCCATTTTGGGGGCAAATCCCATTTGCTTTTTCTAAAAAAAGAGTCCTGCTTGAAATGAGCTTAATAAATCATGTGTGCAGAAGAGCAAGAGGAGGATATGTCCCCAAATGACTTTTTAGGATTTGTTTTTTTTAATGGGGCTTTGGTTAATGTACTATGTAATAATTTTATTTTATAATGTTACTGTACAATGTTGCCTTTTGGTTCATTTAAATATAACACCAAATAAACTTGAAAATTACAGCATCCTAAGTTTTAATGAAACAGTTATAATAATTTATTACTCCATTGCTTTTCCTCTTGTTTTTTTTTTCCAGGGACATCAAGATAGCCATGGGATGCAAGTGTCTCAGTGTTAGATAACTAAGCAGGCTATCTAGTTCTTGGCAGAATTGCTAATGGATTTCTCACTTGTGAAATAATAAGATGGCAGAAGATAATGAAAAACAAGTTTGTTGGGTTTCTTTTAAAAGCTCCTTTGCATCACATTGTCTGGGCTTCTGAGAGATTAGCTCCTGACACTAATCATAATACGTAATTTTATAGGTTATTTCACGACTGAGGTTTGCCATATCAACTGTTTTAACAAGGTCATGACTAATATTTTGGTATCTTTTTCACTTACATGTTTGTGCAACCACTGTCTCTTTTAAGTCAGTACCATGTGTAAGTATTTATAGTCACCTATGAACAGGCAACCAGTTTACTTAGGATGTCTGTATGAATTTAATTTGTTGCTTTTGACTTGTTAATTGCAAAATCTGGTTGTCTTAAAATACCAAGTGTTGAAACACAGGTAGAGCTGAGCCTACCACCAAAGGTAATCCAACATCAGAGGTTGCAGAGGGCAGCCGTGCAAGAGGACATATATAAACAATGAGCAATGACATGAAAACATAATAATGTGAGATCTTGATTTCCTCCTCTCTGCTGCATAAACACCTTCAATGTGTTGCTTTAGCAGTTTTGGTCAGGATGGGGAGTGCTGAGTGCTCTCTGCAGGGCCAGAACACCAGCTCCAACCTCAGGTGCTCACATGGTGTGAGTCAGGCTGCAAACCATCACAGGTCCCCTTGGGAGGGACTGTGAGTCACAATTTAGGATTGGTTTAAGTTTTGGAGATGGTAGCCTGGGTTTGCATTAATTTCAGGTTTTTCTCTTGTACCCATCAAATGCAGAAGCTTACAGGTAGAAGTGCTCTTTCGATTTTTACGTTACAGCATGAATCCAGGAACAGGAACATTCATAAAAATGCTAAGTGGGATCAGGCTCATGCCAAAAAATGCTAAGCACTCTGGCACAGCATTCCTCAGTCATGAAGCTGCCTATATCAGATATATAGATCTCATCTGGGTCATCACTGTGCTAGAAGCTGGAGCAGCTGCCAGGTTTCTGTCTGCTGAATAAGTCACTGAGTCTCAAGGTAGAAGAAAGCTCCTACACTCCATGCTGTATTGGTGACCCAAGACCCAGCCTCATGAGCTCTGCTGCTTTGAATGTATCTCTCACAGCTATCAATTGTACTGCTTGAATAAATTCTTTATTTCAGATCTAGATCTGGTGAATGACTCTGCGTGTTGCACAAATGAGTCACAAGCCAAATACTGGATTTTGGGGCTCTATACTGCCCTTTAAGGTGCTCCTGTGTCTCCATCCCATTGAATCTGCACATGGAAGAAGAGAAAGGAGGCAGTACCCTGAGCATAGCAGAGTGCTCCTGTTGAAAGGAAAGGTCAGTTGTGTTTGTGTGCACTTTGGAATAAGGCAAGCACTTGTAGAAGTAATTATGAAGATGAGGTACTTCCTTTAATTTTATTTTTTCTTTGCTGTCTTTTCAGGAAAGAGCACTGTATCCTGTGAAGTGCTGCTCTGTTAGTTCTACAACAAACATGGCTACTTTGGATGTCTTCTGAGACCATGGACCACTCAGTATGTTACATAAATCTGTGATGTTCACTTAGACACTGGAGCAAAATGTTCAAACAAGGCAGAAGTGGGCTGTCAGCAGCCAAACTCCTCCCATCAGTAAGTTTCCTTTGGTTTTATTTACGTTCTTCAATATAGTACCCACCATGTGTAGGAGAGCCATGAAGCTCTTCCAAAAGCAACAGTAGATCTAAACCTTCCCAATAGCAGTAAACTGAGATTTTCAAGGAAGACCAGGTCATGGTCCTGGATGAGCCCAGCACAAGAAAGCAACTGTGGTTGGCTTGTGTGTGGCACACAAAGCACTGCTGGTCCTGTTGGATGTGAGGAGATGTGAAAAGCTCTCTTCTGGACCAGGGAAGTTTTCTACAAGCCTTAATACAGTATAAGGTAGAGGAAATGGTGGGTGTCTGGAGACATAGTTTCTGCTGAGGCTGGAGGCTTTTGAAGTTAAGAGCTTTGTGGCAGCAATTTCCCATCCCCAATGCTGCTTCTCCCTGCCCTCCTGCACCCTGGGTCTGTGGATTTTGGGATATTCCTCTGAGGCACTAAGCAGCTCTCTAGACATACAGTGCAGACTCATATTTTGCCTTTTCTCGAAGTTAACCAGGTTTCCTTAGTAAAAAGAGGGAATTTTCTGCCAGACATTGATGCTTTGGCCTCAGCTAAAAAAAAAAAGCCCCTGGGGTCTGAGTTCTCCTTGTCCCACTGGAAAGGCTGACAGCACTTAAGGAAATGTGACCTGGCCTTTCCTTTCATCACCCCCAAAGCATCCTGAGACCACCCTGGATATGGCAGGGTTATGAAGACAAGCCCCATTTGCTTTCACATTGGGCTTTGTAGAAGTCACACTTGCCTGCCAATCTCTACAATCGGGGGATTGAAAACTGGTTTCATTTATTAAGGATGAAAATAAATGGGTGAACTCCTCGGGTGGGAACATGCAGTTCTGTTTGCTGGTACTTTAAGAAAAATGTCAAATCCTGCTATTCATGACAAAATTGCTCTCTTTTCCCTGCTTATTTTGAGCTTGTATACAGTGTGCTGTGTTGTCCCCTAGCACGTAGTGAGGCTCCAGCCTGTGTCCACAACAGCAGGTGTCCCCCTGGAAGGGTTGGGGGGGGGAGGGAATTATGTACGATGAAAAGAGTGACTAGAGAAATGCCAGCTATTCTCTCTGTCTCTGGAAATAATGGGGAATATGGTCCCTGTTGAAAAGCTTTGCTGTAAATTCTGCTTTAGTGACAAACGAATCTCTGCTTGTGTTGAAAAATCCTCCTGATCTGCCGTCCTGCCAGGCTGCCACGCTTCCAGCAATAACACAGATCTGCGTTGTGCTGTGTGTTTTTCCTCATGTGACGGCGAGGGAAGAGGAGAGAACCAAGGAGGCTGAGTCATTTATCTTCTTTCCTTGTCTCGGTAATGAAATATTGCTGTTGAACTTTACCCTGCTTTTCCTGTTACTAATTTTATTTTATTTTTTGGTCTTTTTTTTTTTTTTGCAATGGTTACCATTTAACAGGCTCATAAAGTTGCAGTAGTAAAATTTATTACTGCATAGCAAATGTGTGCATATGCATTAATACTGTTCAAGGCCAGTATCTTGTGGCTGCAAAATTAATATTAAGGTGTAGTTTCTAGTTTGGCTAATGGCTGTTCAACAAAGCAGGGCTCATGCTTTGCTCACCTTATCGCTCTTAATCCCTTGAAACAGACCTCCATGGAAGAATTTGCCAGGTAAACATTAAAAAAAGGGTACATGTACAACACAAAAATATGTATTTTTATATATATTTTGTTTATGCAATTAGAGCCTTCAGAATTTTGTCCCTGTGAATTGGTTCAGCTGGGTTTCAGCATAGCACATAGTTCCAAGGTTCAAAAGCAAATATCTCTGAATGCAGTGGATTAAAAATGTGCCTCTTGACTGTGACACTGCTCTGAAGAGGCTGAACTGGATGTTGGTGTTGCCCCCTGAGTTACACCCTGCGTTGTTTTGGAGTCAGTGAACAATAACTGTTCAGTAAACAATAAATTAATTGACATTATCTACCTTTAGACTTTCATTTTCTTACTATGCAAAAAAAATCACTTTCTGTGAGAAGGATAGATTAGTTTTTGTAGCCTTTTTACCAACTTAAAGAGAATTGCTGATCTGGTATTCCAGGTTGAAGACCTAATAACATAATGGCATAAGACAACTGATGATGAGGACTTGCTCAGGTGCTGGTTGAAGAGAAGAGGTTAGAGGAATATTTTTAGGGTGCTGAGACAGGAATTGAGATGGTATCTGTCAGCACTTGTTTTCTTCTTCAAAGCTTTGTCTGACAGCCAGAAGAAAGCTCAGTGCTTGTGATCCTGATGTTTGGGATCTGGTAGTGCAATACCATATCCATATGGTAGTGTTAGGGGTAAAACCCAATCCCTTGGGGCTCAAAAGGAAAGTATGAAGTGTTGAGCAGCTGAGATGTACCTGAGATGTGCCTGCCTAGAGCTGAGCTCTAGGGCAAGCAAATGTCTGGTCAGCTCCAAGTCACACTGGTGAGCCCACTGGTCCCACAAAGTGGGCTCCCACTACAGCAGACCCTGGGCTCATGTCCAGCAGTCACTTGGCAAAGTGATCAGTGACAGCAGCCTCAAAGATCTGATGGAAGATAAAAATATCCATTTGTGGATGGGAGCATCTGCACTGTCTTCTGTCTTAGCCTTTAGAAGCAAGAGCCTTTTGGGGGAGGCTATGACACTTTTTTCTCTCTGCTGGAAGAGGTGAGCTGACAAAAGTAAGCCATCCCTGGGCTGGAAAAAGCAGTGCAGTGGGAAAGATAATCTCATGTGAAAGCTCTCAAGGCAGTGCCGTATGTCTTCCATGTTTTGGGACTAGTCACTTGATCTCTGCAGGCTTTAGTTTTGTGCCAGTTATTCACTGCATCTCTCTTCAGGTGTTTTCTTGGAACAGAGCTTGTCCCTTGCTGTGGGGTCATGAGATGCCCAGGAAAAGAGGGGTCAGACATAGGCTCAGAAATCTTACAAGCATCATCTTGTTGCTCATGATGGCATTACCAGTATCATAAATAGTTATAGGCAGATCAGTCATCACATTTGTAACTGGTGGTAATCAGTGATACAACACCAGGGAGATGTTTGGCTCAGCTTGTCAAAAGTGTTTCGATATTGTGAGAATTATGAATGTCACTGGGAAAGCTTTTTGGGGAAGATAACAGGAGAGAGAAAAGCAGGGGAAGCACGATGCCCTGCTTAGAGCATGGGGAGTGTGGGGAAAGTGGGATTAGTGCTGCAGAAGATGGGCAGACAGCGAGCATCTGCTCTGGACCACCAGGATCAGAGCACAG